GATTCATTGGACAATTGGAGGCGATGTGGTCATATCCATGACATCTGACACATTTCTTGGCTGGAATTGTACTGGTCATGCTACTCTTCTTAGACTTCTTCTCAGTCCGGGCAACTCTGTCATTTTCCTGATCATACTTCTCAACACCTGTAGGCGCACTCTTGATGTCTACAGCTTTGGGTTGCTCTCTAAATGGAGGTTGGTGTCTGGTCTACTCATGCTATCTGTCCACCTTCAGTGTTAAGTTACGAACATCACTCAACATCCAATAAGTTTGTAGCTGGATCATATTGCTGATAGAGGATCTCAGGCCTCTCAAGTACTATGCTCCTTTATCTCTGTCAGCTCACATTTCATCTTAAGTTGCATAAATTTCACAGTGCGCTTCTCCACTAATAGTTCCCTCTGTTGTAGGTGGAGCTTCAAGAAAATATGACGGTATTGTTGCTGCTTCACTTTCTTCATTTTCTCCCAAGTATTGATCTTTCCCGTCCTCTCTTTCTCTCCCTATTCATATTCTCCCACCACAACAAGGCGCTTTTCTTCAGCTTGATGGCAACGAACTTCACTCTTCTGTCAGTTGACACCTCCTTATATTCAAAGATCCTCTTAACAATCCGCAACTACTCATTGAAGTTATCCAAATTCATTTTTCCCGCGAAATCTACTATATCTATTTTCACTCTTAAGTCTCTCTATCCTTCAAAAAACATTTCCTCCCTCAGCCTTCTATGATATTGGATCTTGAATTGCCTTGGTCGACCCTCCATTTCATTGAAATCATTTTTACAGAAGGGATTTAGATGCTCTTCTTGCTCTCCTCCTCAGATCTCGCTATCACGGTCGACGGTGACCTCTCCATGGGTCATCTTCTTAATTTCATCGAGCCTTTGTAGCACTCGACAGAGTTATCACTGTATCTCTTTCATGAAAAATTCTCTATCGGTGTTTGACCCTTGTCTCCTCGGTGGCATGATTAGTGTTTGGGTGTGGGTAGGTAGGATATGATTTATAGGTGTGATGCTGACTGAGAAATAAAAACTTTGTGCTAGGTAGGGAGGGTTTAGGTAACCCTAAGATAGAACTAGGTTATCCTAACTCTAATACCAAATGATATCAGAGTTAACAAACAATGGAGAAACCAAATATTATTGCCGAACCAAATAAAAAATTATAACCAGCCAACTCAAAAACATGACAAAAAATATGAATTTGTAACAAATGACCACACAAACTCTATTAGGGTGGATGTTGGGGTGACGTTGGTGATCATCTAGGGGTTGGAAGGTGGCAGAATGGTCGACGAGGTGGTTGACAAGCATAAAACATCAAGGCAGCAGTTTCCTGAGTTCCGGACAGCTAGCACATGGCATATATCAACGTGGGACGGTTGTCCGAGATGATGACAACAAGTGGGAATTGCTGGAAATCAACGACAACAAAGATGGAGGGCTGGAACGACGATGACAACAAGGATGGAGGGTTGTTTAGGGGCGTTGGCTGCAAGGAGAAAGGAGAAATGGGGTTCCTGGAAGGTGGTTGCAACTTGGAAGGGAGGAGTGCGGGGTTTGGAAAGTGGCATTAAGGTGTATTAAATAAGAAAAGTCAAGGAGAGCTTTTTATGGGCCGCTGCAATAGGTACGATGATGACGATGGCGACTGCGGAGGGAAGGATGCAGAGGAAGGGAAATTTGAAAATAGTCACCTCCTTGGAACGATATACATCTGGAGCACCACTAGCCTTGGATACAACCCATAAGAGGAAACTGAAAATGTCGACGGTTGTTCCGACAGAAAACACATCAAAAACTAAACTTAAAAAAAAAAAAAAAAAACTATGAGTGGCCCAAGAGGACCGACTGCTTTTACAACAGCCAAAAAGTCAGGACTGTTTCGATCCATGCACGAAAGCGGGACATGCTTTATGTTATAGGAATTCTCGCACGACACGCCTTGCATCAATATCAATGAGATTTTCTGTTTTGTTGTTCTTAACAAACTACAGGGCACCGAGTTCAAGCAAATTGTGTGTATTTGTACTGTAGTTATGCTTGTTTTGTTCGGGGGAGAATTATGGTTTGTCTGGTGATGTGTTTTGACTGTCAAAAAATATTATGTAGTCATTTTGCGGTTCGTCTAATTGTTCAAAAAGCTTTTTACTTATCATCTCAATGGCTTCGATAGAAATTGCCTATTTTATTTTTGTAGTTAATGTTTAATAATGCACTTATCTTTTATAGCTGTGACATTCAATTGATTGTGGTGCCACGTAGAGTATATATGTGCCAATTACACTCCTTGTGTCTCGCTTTTTGCCTTGATTCAAATAGGCATCCATTGTTGTATATTCTTAATTCAGTCATTTTAAAATTTAGAGAATGATATATTATAGCTTTATGATATTACAAGATTCAGTTCACAACTTTTATGTGTTACTTTCTCGGATTATACATATTTGCTATTTTCTCGGATTATACATATTTGTTAATTCCCAATTGCTTTTCAGCATTGGGTTTTATGCTGATCATTGCTTATATGAGTAATCCATTGTTTGAAGCGTAGGGGACTTTGTTCATGCACTCCTTTTCCTCAAATTTTGGCATTTATTCTTTAGAAAAGTTAAAATGACTAGCCAACAATGCATTACGTGTGCAACATCATAATTTTTTGTCCCTGAGAATTAAATGCACCTTTGACCTTGCTATGATGTCCCCGAGATTTTTTTTTTGGGTTCCCCTGATCTTGCATGCCAAATTCCTTTGACAACAATTTTTCGAATTGTTGATATTTGGAATCTATTTCTTGCATTTGAAATGCACATCATAATGATAAAATAATAATTTTTCCTATTTTTCTAACATAATAATAATGGTTAGCATTGCATATGCATAGTTCGATCATATGTATTTACCCATCGAATTTTGGTACCTTTTGATGAAATACGTGTTCCAGGTCATAAATAGATTTTTTCGCTTGTATACAAGATTTTCTCGTGGTTCAACAAAGCCTTTGGTTTACATCAAATAAATGTATTCCTTTAATCACCATGGAGGAAAGTTAACATCCATATACTCAGAGCATACATATCTTATGCTATTACGATGCTCAGTATTGATCAAAATATTTGTTTGTTTAGCCATGGCAGAAAATATCTCGATAAAGTCTTTCCCTTTGCTAAAATTTTTTATAACAAAGGTTATATTGTATCTTCTTAGATTTTTTTTTTTTTCCTGCATTTCCTGCATTTTAAATATCGATTTTATCGATTTGTTCTTCATTGACTTCTTGTCTTTGGTATATTTGGTCAATTTTTAGGTGTTGCACTTACGAACAGAATTCATCTCTTATTTAATTGCAAACTCCCTTTTGATAGAAAATTTTCCCTTATGACTAATTTAAAACTCAGACTCTCCAGCATATGTAAGCAATAATAAATTAAACTAGAGCAATGGTTAATGAGCTTATTAGTTCTTTGTGACCATCTAACTTGATTCATAATTTTCTTAGGCTTAGATTGTTCCATTTCATATGCTAATTTTTGTCTTTGTTTTGCATAAATTGCTCCTTTGTTCACCGTGCTTTGGAGCGAATGTTTCTTTGGCAAAAATGCTTGACCTGTCTTTATATGATGTATTTATATAATATAATATTCATTCATAGAATATTTTTAACTTGTGACAATTCTCGTAATAGATTATGCCAAAATTTATAACTGATTTTAATCCCCCCCACAACACGCAATATACATAGACTATGATTGCTAGTGATTTGTTTTTCTAATCAATGCTATATATATCTTTATCTATATTATTTTAAATCACGTGCATGCCCCTTTGTGTTGAGCTTTGAACTTGGGACCGTGTGATTAGAGATAATGAGCTGCACAATTGCTAGTGATGTGTTGCATTTTGAATGAGTATGGCATATATAATTGCTAAAGTCATGGATGAAATATAATTGCTTGTGAGTTGCATTACCCATAAATATAGTTCAGTATGTTATTACTGGGATGGGCTTTTGTGGTATGTCTGATGGTCCGCCACTATGATTGATCGATCTCATTCTCATATAGAATCATTGAGTGATGATGTTCACTCTATTAGAGCATTGGCTGGGCACACCTTTGATTTTTGTTACTTTTCTTTTTTTGCAAATTAATGATGAAGAAAGGCTGAATTATTGTAATGATATGTTTTGTTTAGTACTAAAACTTTCTATTTCTAATATCTTTGATGCGTACACATTGCTGAGCATTTTTTTCATTTCTTCAATGATGATAATCCTTCTATTAATTATGTCTTTTGAAAGAAAAAAAAATTAATTGTTTAAAGTGCTCATTTAGTGTCTTGAATATTTTAATTATGTTTCAAAAATGTTTTAAGGATCCATTTGGGGCAGCTGCAGTTTTTTGTAAAGTTGGCTGTAAAACTGTGGGTAAAACAACTTTTTGCAAGATTTTGTGGGTATTATGAGTATTTTTTTTCCTAAATGTGAGGCCATAGTTTTCTTACAGCTAGCTTTTGCAGATCTTGCTGTAAAAAACAGCTTTCTACCACAATTTTTTGAAAAATAGCAAGAAAATAGTAGCCAAATGGAGGTGTAGCTGTGGTCTGAAAAACGAAGCAATAAGCAATCTGCCCCAAACAAAACCTAAAAATGCTAATATTACCATATACTTGGATGTAGTTTGGTACTTACATTGATTTTAAACTTCACAAACTCCCTTAAAAACTGCATCCAAATAAGGGCATTTTAATTTATTGCTTAAAACAAATGAAATTAAATTTCTTGCTTTAATTATGTTTCTATCTACAATCACCCAAACGAGCGCAAGAAAAAAGGTGTGGTTACCCTTCTAGATGCGCCGTAGTCCTCTCATTTTTTTTTAACATACCTTAAAATGTCCTTTATTTCTTCTGTAATTCAGGTTATGTTAATGTTATTCATGATTAGAAGTTTAGATGACATCAGAACTGATAGTCGTAATGCTTTTTATGTAGCTTATAATGCTTAAAGAAGGTATCACTCGATTGGCTATACGGAGCCTTAGCGAAACTTCCGAAAAGGAAAGAGAATTTGCATTAAGAATATTGCTCGACTTCTCAGTTGAGGAGGAATTTTCATTAAACCTGGCTCTAGAGAAAGGGGCTTTATATCTTCTCACTAGCATTGCTGGAAATTCAAATCAACCTTCTTTGTCTAATTTAGCTGAGGATGTGCTCAATAGCATGGAAAAAGTTGAAGGAAATATTGAATCTCTAAGTAAAGAAGGAAGATATCAACCACTGCTTATTCGACTTTGTGAAGGTATAGCCTAAATTCTTAGTGTCATGTTCTTGCATTAATGTTGCTTGTATTAGTTCTTGTTCATATGTGGTGTAGAATATAAAGTTTCAGTTCATCCTGAAAATAAGATTTATTCTTGAATAGATCTATTGTTATTTTCTAACAATTATGTGTAATTATATTAAAAAGAATACTTTTGGTACTTATTTGACTCTCCACTTATTTTAAGGGAAATGTTTTTTTTAAAGGGAAATTTCAGCTTTACCGGAAGCAAAATGTTCTAATATAGGATTTGACGGCCTTCCCTACCCTTTGAGCGAATAAACTTTAATTGAACAATGTGTCATTTTCTTCTGCTTTCGTGACTCTAAAGAGAACAAATTTTTCTCTTTAGGCTTCGATGACATTTTAACAAATTTCTTAAGGTCTGGGTGACGGCGACAAATATTTCTTAATGACTTTTGCGTTCTTTCGCTCAAAATCTTGTATAATCAAGAAGTATTATAGGTATTATAAGTTCTTACAGTGGTTTATCTAATCTGAATAACCACCATTAAGTTTTATGCCGGAAAAATCATGAGAAATGATGGATCTATTTTAACAGTGCCATTATTTTTTTTTTCAATTTTCTCTATATTAAATTCCCTGACTCCACTCTTTGAAACCCAGGTTCCAAAGATGTTAGAATGGAGATTGTGAAACTTCTGGGGAAGATGAATTTAACCGACAGTGGCAGAAACTATATTGCCAGGAAAGGAGGTAGAGTTTTGGTTGGAATGCTTTCTTCCAATGTTGACGGATTGGAACCGAGCTTGCGAGCGCTTTATAATCTGTCATCACTCAGTGATAATGCTGCCGTCCTTGTTGGTCAGGGCCTGCTCCCAGCACTTACAGCTATTCTCTTTACTAAACAGTTGGATGGTTCATCTAACCTGAAGGAGTTGGCAGCATTAACAATGGCTAAAATTGTCTCTAATCCTGGGCACTGGGAATCATCTTTTGCTGACAATGAAGGCCATGAGATGCATTCAGCGTTTATCATTCATAAACTCGTGGAACTTTTAGATCTCTCATCTGGCGAATGTCGAGCTGCTGTTCTTCATGTTCTTTGTGGAGTCATGACTTCTCCGAAAGCCTCAGGTTTGCTTGATCGATGAGTAGTTAATGTTATAAAAATGCTTTAGACATTGAAGGGATGAAAAAAATTATGCATCCGGAAGAATTTATTTTTCTTAGTTTATTATTTAATTTGTTCTGAATTAGAAATATGGAAATTTTAGAATTCCCTCTCCATCTGAATACTGGAAATTTAAATAAACTTCAAGATGTCTAGAATCCCTCAAGTTGGTTGGTTGAAGTGGAGGACTCAATCGGCCCTGTTGTGTGATAGAAAAGTACAAATTAGACTGAAAGGAAAATTTTATAAGATAGTGGTGACCTGCAAAGCTGTATGGCGCAGAGTGCTAGCCTTTAGAAGCGAAGCATAAAACAAAGTTAAGTGTTGCGTAGATGAGAATGCTTAGGTGGATGAGTGATTTGACATTTTAGAGATAAAATGCGAAATGAATTTATCCGTGATAGGGTTGGTGTAGCTCCAGTGACGAACAAGATTAGAGCGAGTTATCTTAGATGGTTTGATCACATTAAACATCGACCAACTGATGATTTTGTTAGGAGAATAATTGCTTTAGATTTCACTCATGTTAAGAAAGCGAGAGGTAGACCTAATACTGTATAAAAATGATCTTAATTTATTAGAATTAAATGATAATATGACACTCAACAAGACGCAATGGAGAAAAATGATTCATGTAGCCGACCCCACTCAGTGGGATAAAGACTTCTTGTTGTTATTATGCCAAGAATCCCTTACTCCGCTTGATATGCATTACTGAACCTCCACTAAAGTACCATAATCAAATGCTTCTATCTGAATGTCCTTTCGTGCATTAGTTTTAAAAAAACCTTAGATAATTTCAAGCAAAATACATTTTGAATCTGCAAAACCAAGCTATTGCAAATGAAGGACTCTACTTCACCGAAGGCTTAATTAACCTGAAAGCAAACTAAACCAAGCAACTCTGGAAATAACTTTATACAATTAGTGGAAATATATAAATGACAAAAAAGTTGATGCGAACAAAAGTTTAATAAGAAACTTAAAAGCCATTATACTCAACAAGGGATGCATCTCTTCCTCCATCCCCATCTCTTCTTGCTGGTGATTATATAATTTTTTTCCTTTTCTAATTCTAAAATTTTTGCTTTGTTTTTTAGGGTTTCTACTTTTTGAGGTTATATGCTTGTTCCAATTTTTTCTAAAATTCATTTTTTTAGGATTTTTTTTAAATGATAAGAGGTAAAAATAAAAGCATTACATGACATAAAAAAGACCCAGCTTGGAGGTATAATGTGCAAGTTAAAATTGAAGGGAATTTTAAGTCATGTTTATCTGAAATGTACTTATTACGAAAACGTTGTTAAGGAGGTGTTAGTGTCCGAGGAGATGAAAGGGAAGATTTATGTATATAAACGAGGCAGTAATATCAAAACATTTTAAAAAGTAACAGTATGATGATACAATAGATATTAGATCTTATTATGCTTGTATCCTAGTATTAAAGTTCCCTCATTTTCTTTGTCACAAATGTCATGTAGAGCAAGAGAACCTTTGGATGAGTACATGATAAATGTAGAGGATGACAATGACGATGATGCAAGGGTAACCCTTAGGATGTCTTTTTAAAATGCTAGAGAAGATCGCAGATGTTTACTGATGGATATTAGAAGATTCTCTTATAATAATACAATTTCATTAGATATGGAAACCTTTTCTTATTTCAAAATGAGATATTCCATAATTTCTTATAGTTGAAGCCTGGGCGCTATCTATGTATGACTTGAGATAGTAGGGATCAAAGAAGAAACTGAGTCGCACTGAAAAGATCACTAAGGAGATTAGCATAACTAATAATCATACTGAGGTGATGATCATGTTTCATGCTTTCTTTAATACAATGAATTAAAGCTTGATCAATATTTTTATTAAAATTTCCTAATATACTATTTTATTAAGTTTGTTGAAGCTTTGGATTAGGTAAATTATTCTGAATATGTTTTTAGACTTATTAATAGAGTCATAGAGGAGATTGGAGAGCATCTAGTGGTACAAGTTGTTACCGACAATGCTGTTTCTTATGGGGCATTTGCAAATAAGTTGGCGAATATAAAATACATGTATTGAACATTATGTGCAACACACTATATTTATTTGATTCTTGAGAAACATATGACTATGATACAAGTAAAATGAAGAAAATTCACAAGTTCGTTTAAAGTTATTGTGCGTTTTGGCTTTGATGAGAAAATATTTTTAAAAACTCATTTGGCCAGCTACATGTTGTTTTGCTACAAATTACTTGACTCTAGAAAGCACGTTGGAAGGAATGCAACTTTTGGAGGCTATATTTACATTTACACAGTGACGTAATTGTGCTTTAACAGGGAAATCTGAAGGTAAAGAAGTTAGGAAGATAATTCTGAATGGAATATTTTGGTTGAAGTGTTTGTTATGCAAAAACAACAATAAAACATTGATTCAAGTTTTATAGATGGTTGTTGTAGAGAAAAATTAGCTGTGGGCTTCTTTTATAATGCGATATATGAGACTATGGAGTTGGTTGGTAATGCATAGCTTGGGAAGAAAAGAGCCCAACTACAAGAAAATTTGGAAAATAATTGATAAAATGTGGGAGCTTTAGCTTTGTCGTCATTTATATGCTACATGATATTATTTTAATCATTAATTTCAATATATTTAGAACAAGTCTGACTAATCCCGAGATTAATTTAATTTTTTACCATTATATGAATAAGTTGATATTTAACTTGAATGAGTGGGCAAAAGCTAATTTGCAACTTGTAAAAATAAGGAGGGATTCTGTGGACTATAGGAAGCCAAAAATATAGTTTCAAAATATGTTATAGGCAATTTTTAATTTTTATCAGTTGGAATAAAAAAGGGTTTTCCAGATATTAAATGTGTTTTTTTTTTAATTTAATTGAATGATGAATTTAATTTGGCGATGAAACTATGGAATTACAATAATTTATTGTCAAAGTATTGAGTCTTGCATGTCCGTCTTGTTATTGTGATTGAAATTGTAGTACATATATTCAAATTTATATCAAGATGATAAATTTTCTGACTACTTTAAGGATAAACACCATAGTATTGGTCGAATGCAATAAGAGATTAAAAAATGGGCATATGGAGGGAAAATATTTAAAGCATGACGAAGATCCCTCACTTGCTGATGCATGCTATCAAATTATGAATAATTTTTGGATGAGGTCTTATCTTATTAGATCACTTAATTAAAACACAAATACTATGACCTAATAGGAAGATTAGTGTAGTACTTTTTTTTTTAATTTAGTGATTTATTTTTATTTATAGCAAAAAGATTGCGAGTAATTCCTTAAACTTTTTTTTTCAAATTTCTTAAAACACAATTTTATAACTTAAAAATAATATCAAAATATTATGTGGGAATAATAAGAATTGCCAAAGGAAAAACACACAAGCCAAAATAAAGATGACAGTGAGCACAAGCATTTAATAGAATTTGAAAGCTACCTTCCTTGCTTCAACTTCGGTGAACACAGTAGCAATGATTGGTTTTTTCCTCATCTGAGCCCTGTCCAGTGAATATATTTGTAATAACCCATTTTGAGAGCAAAGACAAAATTTTTTTTTTTGACAACCTAAAATGTACCTCAACTTTTGCACTTTTTAAATTTCAACCGAATCAATTCCACACGTCATATTGATCAATTTATATAAAACACTATTTATAAATTTTGAATTGAATGTGAATTTTAAAAATTTGAAGATATAATTTTAATTAACTTAATTAACTCTTAGCTAATTCTAATGTTTACTCTAATCTTGTAGGTCTAGGTCGAATGGGGAGAAATTCCAACCTTATCAGTTCTTCCCCTCCCTGCACGATTCTTTTCGCAGGTTCCCACATTGGCTGCTCTCACGATCCTCTCCTCCCGTAACTTCATGGCAGCAGCTCGGCGAGGACCCTTGCTACAATGCAAGGGGCATGAACCGAGCGACACTTGGGAAGTCGCATGTGCTGCAGTAAGCCGCGTCCCTCTCCCGATCCTACTCCTTTCGTTTATCATCCTCCCTCGCGTCGTTCCTTTCTGTCGACTATAGTGCTGGAGTCGGGATCATACGCAGACGCAGGATAGTGTGTCGCCGGCTAGTTTTTCGAGTTCTGGGACGAAATCGGTAAGAGTTACTCCCTATTTCACACTATTTAAGACATTCCTTTATTTCCTTGCCTTTCATTTTGATATTTGCCACAAATTGTACATTTTTTTCATCTCCAGTTGACGTAGCGGAGATGAAGTTTTGTTGTGTGCGAAAAAGTTGTTTTGTGGGTTTCCGAATTGGCTTTTGGTCTGAAATCACCAAGGTTGGGAAGAGTGAACCAAGATAAGAAGTAGAGGGAGTGAAGTTTTGGCAACTTCGGAGAAAGGTTGGGATGTTGAGAAGCCGACTGAGGTACATTTTAGCTAATCAATTATATTTCTGTTTAAGTTACTTTATGAGCTAAGATTTCTTTAAATTCAAAGATAATTGCAGATTCCAGGTTATTTGCCCTATATGGCAGGCTTGAGGCAAAATGAAAATTCATTGTAAAGTGACTCCATAAATTCAATTAAATTAATCTTATGATAACTTAAGAAGAATAATTTAATTGGCGAAAATTGGTTCAATCTTAAAGTTCAATTTTATTTTTTAGATTATATAAATCGAGAAACAGGTTATCCAACGTCCAACTAGTTACTCAAGATTAAGAACCTAGTATGGCAATAAATGCGAGTAATTATATTTTTAAATTTTAGTAATCATCTTTATTTCAAAATATATGTTGATTACATGTATGCTGTTGGCGGCCGTTTTAACTTCGTGATTTGAAAAAGTGATGATTTTGTTATTTTGAAAATAATTTAAATATGAATATAACATTTTTTATTTTTAAAAGTAATATTTTAATTTTAAAATAGGTGAGACCAAACGGGTCTCACATTTTAAATAATTTAGATAATTGAATACAATA